AAACGTCTTCGCATCGCATCAGCGCGTAATGTTTTGACAGCTTCGGGGCTTTTTTAGCATCTAAATGAATTTACCTATCTACGTCAAGAGATTGAGAGAGCAACCAGGAATAACAACAACAACAACAACAACAGTAAGAATAGCATAAGCGATTACATGATCGACCTCCGATGGACAATGCTAAAAGGGGGGAAGTGACGAGACAAATTGTTGAAGAAGAGGAGGAGGAGGAGGAGGAGGAGGAGGAGGAAGACGCACCGTGATGAGCGTAGATGTAAGCGGATCGCCAGGAATAGATGTGATCCCCGGGCTTCAGCTGCTCCCTTTCGATCTTGTTGGACAAAACCCCCATCTCTCCCTCTCTCGCCGCCGATGTTAGGTCAGAGAAGGAGGAGGAGAGGGATCGCCAAGGGAGGAACGAGGAGGATAACGGCGCTTGCTTTCTGTCTTCCTTTCCGTCCTTTCGCATCCCTCTCTGCCCGCTCGACAAAGCGTGGCAACCGTGTGGGGGACGCGGTTGGATCAGCGTTTCGCCACTATTACATCTCAACCGTTGGACTGGAATTGGAGAACTCAAATTTTACCATGGTTTGGATAGGATCCAGTACCAAGCCGCGTTAAAGAGATCACCAAAAAAAATTGCAATGTTAATCCATTTTTTTAGTGTTATATATATATAATAGTAAATTTATGCCAAAATAATGGCATAATTACATCCTTATCATTTTAATTTAAGTTGACAAAAAATTAAAATATATATATATATATATAAGGGATGAATTAATAAAAAATGAGACTTTTAATTTATAAAAAATAAAAGAAAAATTGATCGATTAGGGTATTTTTAACTTCGGAACAAAAACCATTTGAAAATAATTATAGAAAGTGCTTTAAGGTTTAAAGACATAAAAATGTATTTCAAGACTTGAGTTACACTGTGTTTTCAATTGCTGACACAATTTTTACGGCCTTTTTCGAAAAGGTATAACTCTATTTGAAAACAATGCATTCCACCTTTACCAAAAAGCTTCAACTTTTTAGGAAAAAACTTTTAAATAAAATATAAATATATAAAGAATCATATTTTTTTAGCAATTAAAATAGGTACAGTTACTTTATTTCAACCCTTTAAAAGTATGAAAACATGAGTTATTTATTTCTACCCTATTTAAGGTGATTTTATCATAATTTTGGGGGGAAAAAGCCACTTGAATATTATTTTTATTTTTTAATTGGTTTTTTTAGGATTTTAAAAAAAAGTCTTTCATGACTTAAGCTA